GAGAGGGGAGCGGCGGCTTAGAGCCAATGGAAGGCCCCGGACGGCGTCCCGGGGGGTGGGGCCAGCCGGCTGACCGGCAGCCGAGGGACGGCCGGCGCTGCCAGGACGCTGGACAGGGGTCACAAGTCAAGTTATGACCCGCGGGGAGTTGAACAGACGAACAGGACACCAACCTCACAGACGCGCGTCTCCCGAGCGCGTTTCGAATAGTCGGCGTGCGCGCTGCCGCGGAGAAATGATCAAGAAGTAGGTTTGTCTCAAGCAGTTCAGTTTATTTACATTTTTCTTAAGAGTCACGATTTATTTTCAAATTCACAATTAACATTACACGCCGAGATTGCATAATGTAACACAAAACGCGCATTTCTCGCTGAAATGCCTTCATACCTTCCCTAATATAAATATTTATTTCCGCCTTATAAATATTACTCATAGAAGCGACCCTATGACCAAGTGTCATAAAAAAGAATTTAACCCATTTTGTCAATTAAATCGATGAAAGTCCTTTCAAATAATACACAACAATAATTTCATCAGACAAAAACATGTACGAACAACGATAAGAAATGCAGTATTAAAGAAGTTGTCCCAATATCAAACACATTTAACCAGCTCACTTAGTCACGTCGTTGAACAGAACATTATTAGCGTAGTATGTGAAGCAAACAAAATTCGTGTCAAACCACACACACACACGCTCCGCATAGAAGGAATTCAAAGAAAGGGTTGACACAAAAATCGAAGGCAATTGATTGATTACTTATTTTCCCAAGTAACAAGTAAGGGTATTTCTCCCGGAAGTGTAGTGCATGCGGTGTTTCCTTTTCCGTTAGAACGCGAGTTCCGACGTCAACATACACGCCTGATGTGGGTTCTCCCCCCTTCAGATATCTTCCCCAGCTGGACAGCACCTCGACTGGCACAAGCTCCTCACTGGACTACTGACGTGTCGTGAGTAGTGAATGTAAGTGGTGTGTGTGTAATGGTAGACGAGAAACAAGGATTACGAAGGGAAGACCACACGCAATCCACAGAAAAATTGTGTACCATGGAAAACTACCGATCAGAAAAGCTGACCGCTAGAATTCTTCCCTGCACTTGGCAAGTGTCTGCAAATCCGCTAACAACGCAACTCAAACCCTACAACTTCCCGGTCGGCGCCGCTGCAGAGGCTAATCCAAAGCCTCCGTCGAGCCATCCTACACAGGAAGAAGACGCCCCTCCACGACCAGTGCGACCCTCAACGGCCCCGCTAGCGAGTGATGACACGACTAGCGTGCGGCGCTGTTGTCCACTCCAATCTATTATTCACCGCCCTCCGCCCCAGCGCTCTTTCATCGCGAGTTCATTTATTTAGTTTCGGGCATTGGTTCGGAGTGCATATCCAAACAGACCGTTTCTTTTCCGTCTTGATGACAGAAAAACCGCAACGGAAAAAGGCAGTAGGCGATGTTGATGCCCGCACCGCAGCAGTGCTAGCGCAATCACACGGTCAATTACGTATATATATCCTGCATCGGAACATCAAAGGCTTGGGAAAAATGCACGCGCATCGATCAACTTCGGGTTTGAATCACGTGACCTGGTTCGCCTGTGTAGGTGAACTCTATCCAGTGGCAGAGAGGAGAAATTTAGCAAACCTATTGGTCGTTTCGAGTCTTTGGTAAATGTTTATGGTCCATAAATTTAGGATGAAGTTTATTATTGGTTTCGTCAATAACTTAACGATGTAATCACATGAAAAAAAAATAATTGGAGAATGCATCAATTCCTTTTTTTCATTTTATTAAGAACCATAAAATGCATGGCTTATTTACAAATAATACATTACTTTAAATGTGTATTTAAACTACAATACCATTCACACACTTTAAATAACTGATACATGTTTTGAATTAAGAATAAACATTAAATGGATTTTGCCATTATAAACACAAAAAAGTGGGGGAAATAAGAATACAAGTAAATAACTAATGGTGATACAACAGCAAAAAAATTGTATTATTTCTAACTTTCCCAATTGTAGAAATTTTAGAGAATTCAAAGAAAATTAGACAAGTACCGGATGTGCTATTCTGTGCGAAAAAGAAAAAAATGTGCAAACGGTGATATGATGCGTTAATAAACTTTGTAGGCCATATTTTGGAAACGTTTACTTCTTACTTGCATATTTCTACAATAATTTAAATCACATAAAAAGAGCAGTTACATAAGTCATAGAAACTGACCAACTAGTATGGCCTGTCATTGTAAAACAAAATTGAATAAAATAGGTAGTATACATGGATGCAAGGCAAGAACCAGATAACGCCTGTGGTACGTAAATGATTTTATTTTTTAACCAATTTTATTGATTCAGATTTACGTATTTGCTAATTAACTAGATGTTCACATGACTCGGTTTCTTTTCTCACATTTTCCTCACAGAGAACATCAAGCACCATTCAACCCTTTCCATATTTCGCAATCCCAATCGCCTCGATCCAGGTAAGTAGTATATATGTAGTATATATATCCAGGTAAGTAGTATGTAATTTATATCGAGCTACGTATAGAAGACAATAAAAAGCTATAAAAACTCAGTAACAAATAAAACGTTTTATTTGAAGAAATGCAACATTTACGGATGTAAAGGCCTCTTTCTCGACTACCCTGTGTAGCTGGGGCCGGAGTGCGCGTCGTGCCAAACGTATGGAAGACAATAAGAAGCTATCAGTAAAAAATAAGACGTTTTACTTGGAGAAATGCATCGTTTACGGACGTAAAGGAATCATCTGGACGCACCCTGTGCAGCTGAGGCGGAGGGCGCGGTGCGCGCTACGTATGGAGGACAATTAGAAGCTATTAAGTGTCAGTAAAAAATAAGACGTTTTACTTGGAGAAATGCTTCATTAACGGACGTAAACGAATCGTCTCGACGTGCCCCGTGCCGCGGGGGCCGCAGGGCGCGGTGTGCGCCGGTCGGTTGGTGAATGGACGGGGCGAAGCCGGCGCGGGTGATACATTCGGCGGTGCGACCTGCCGAGGAGGCGGCGCCATCTGTCTGGGGCGACGGCACGGCGCGGCGCGTCTCCTCTCCGCCGCCGCCGCCGTATTTACCCAGTGGCCGACATCGCCGACGTTCATTCTTCATCCTCGTCGACGCGCGAAGGCTCCCCGCCCGCCGCCCACCCAGCCGACGCCAAGTTCAAAACCCTGGCGCGACCTGCCTCAACCACGTAAATCAAGCGAGCCGCCGCCGCTCCTGGGGGCCGCCGTTGCAAAGTGACGCACTCGACTAATGGCGAGGGGTGTCCGCCCCGCCCCGCCCCGCCCCCACTCCTCGGCTCCTTCCGCGTGCGGCGATATATTTCTCGGCGGGGGAGGCGCCGGCGCCGCCGCGATCCCGTGCCCTTGCGACGCCGCCGCGACGCCCTCGCGCCCCCCGGCGACGCCGCGGCTGGCACTCGCGGACGCCCATTCGTCACGCGGCGCAGGGCCCTCGCCGTGTCCCTACACGCGCTCCGCCGCACCTCCTCTTGCCACACGATTCCAACGACTATCTACATCAGCATTTTCTAAGGCTTCATAACACACAATCCTTCACAAGAAATGAGGTAATGCACTCAAAAGGCATCTGCCTCGTCCACGGACTTCTGGAATAATAAAAATACACACGTTCAAAAATTAAATTTTTAAATTCACGCGGGAAAAGTTTTCAATTTATTATTTAACCACGGAACGCACGGACTAACTGAAAAGTAGCACTGAAATACTGGGCAAGAGAAACGTCACTTCCCGCGCTTTTTTTTACAACTTTTTCGCCTGCTTTCGGCCCCCGCCCCGCAAGGGCCTCCCGCGCTTGCCGGTCGCCGCCCCCGCCTCCCCTTTGCCCGGCCTTTGCCAAGCCGGCGGGGCGCGGAAGTTGGGCGAGGCCGGGGCCGGGGCGGGCCTTGCGGGGAAACTCCGCGGGTCCTCCCTGGCCTCCTCCTCGCCCCCCGGGCCCCCAAAAAAAGCGGCGAAGTTATTGCTGGAAAGTGGCCGCCCCGGGTTCCGCGCTCCCTCGGGCGCGCACGTCACCGGCGCCAGCGCGTGCTCGCGCCCCCGCCCCCGCCCCCCGTGGAGGAGGAGAGCGGGGTAGGTGGTGGGGGGGGGGCCGTTCGAGGCCGGGTAAGTCAGGGCCCTCGGCCCAAATGGTTTAAGGAAAGGCGGCGCAGAAAGGAAGTTTTAAACTAATGAATAGATGCCAAGGCTAATGTTTAACCCCCTCAATATGCTCGCGCCCCCCACTCTCGCGCTCCGGCCCAACAGGCGGAGGGGAGTGGGATGGGGGGAGGGGGCGGAAGAGCCCTACGCCCGCGCGGCCGATCGCATGGACGCCCACCGACTCCGCTCCCGCTCTGCTCCTTACTCATGCTGCCCTCCACCGGCGGGATCTGCAACTACGCCTTCATGCGTCCGCCTGCACTTGACGGCGCGGCGCGGCGCGGGGGGCGAGGGCGGCGGGGGAAACCGGTCCTCCAGACGCCGCGGGATGACGACGACGACGGCGGCGGCGGCGGCGGCGCCGACGCGGTTCAGAGCGACGCTGGCTCCTTCCCACCGGCGCAAGACGCTTCGCTCCGTCCCGCCCCTGGGGCTCCACCGTCACCGAAGACATGGTGTCGAAAAAGGCGGTTGGCAACCTCGGAAAATTTAATTTCAGCCCAACAATACAGAATGAAAAGTATCGAGGATAAAACCAAGGTGTTCGTTGCAATTAATGGTGATAATACAGAAACACAATACGTAAGATCTATTTCTCCTATTATAAAAAAGAGGGAAGTCATTCAGTAAACAAATCTACTGAATTCCAATGAAAAAATTATATCCTCAAAATGGGCGTAAGAAAACGACGTATGCCACCACGTGCATACGAGTATTTAAAAAAAAAATTCCCCTTAAATAAGCCTGTGATGAACCTACAAAAATTACGTATTAATTAAAGACGTATTTACGGTATGTTTAGAATCTAATCATAATTCTCATACAATTATATTGTTACGTAAATCAAATAAAAATCTGTTACCTGGAACAGAATGTACTGTCTGCAACAGCAGCGTAAGCACTCGCTACTTTAAATCGACATGATACATGCTCTCCACATATTGTCATTTGAGGTCTCTTTGATACCAAAATAAATTATTTCGCCTGACATGAAGAACAAAAAACAATCCATTACCCCGTCGATAGCCGTCTCCGCCTCCCCCCGCGCAGCCCGGCCGTTCCCACAGCGCACAAAAACAATCGCCGGCGAGTGCGCGCAATTGCACGGCGGCCTCGACGGATTTCCACCGGCAGCACGACCCTCCTGGGTGCCGAGTGCGCGTCGTGCCAGGAACGTATGGAATAGACAATAAGAAGGCTATCAGTAAAAAATAAGACGTTTTACTTGGAGAAAGCATTTCGTTTACGGACGTAAAGGAGGAATCATCTGGACGCACCCTGGTGGCAGCTGAGGCGGAAGGGCGGCGGGTGCGCCGCTAACGTAGTGGAGGACAATTAGAAGAGCGGTATTAGGAGATGTGGGGAGTAAAGGAAATGGAGAGCGTTTACTTTGGGGAGAAATGCTTCATTAACGGGTAAACGAATCGTGGGCTCGGGGACGTGCCGCCGTGCCTGGCGGGGCCGCAGAGGCGCGGTGTGCGGGGGCCGGTCGGGGCTTGGTGAAGTGGGGAGGCGGGGCGAAGCCCGGCCGCGGGTGATATCATTACGGCCGGGTGCGACCGTCGCCGAGGAGGGCGGCGCCATCCTGTGCCTGGGGCGAGCGGCAACGGGGAGGTGCGGCGGCGCGTCATCGCTCTCCGCCGCCGGCCGGGCCGTATTTACCCAGTGGCCGACATCGCCCGACGTTCATGGTCTGGTGCATGTCCTCGGGGTCGACGGGCGCGGGGAGGCCCTCCCGGCCCGCCGCCCACCCAGCCGAGAGCGCCAGGAGGTTAAAACCCTGGGGCGCGACCTGGCCTCAACGGTCACCGTAAAATCAAGCGAGCCGCCGCCGGCTCCTGGGGCGCCGTTAGCGAAAGTGACGGGTCACTCGACTAATGGCGAGGGGGTGTCCGCCCCGCCCCGCCCTCGGCCCTCCCGACTGCCTCGGGCTCCTTCGCGTGCGGGCGATATATTATCTCGGGCGGGGACGGCGCGGGCGGCTCGGGCCGCGATTGCCGGTGCCATTGCGTACGGGGCACCGCCGCGAACGCCCCCTCGCGGGCCCCCGGGCGACGCCGGGCGGCGTGGCACTCGCGGACGCCCATTGGGCGAGCCGGCGCAGGGACCCTCGCCCGTGTCCCTACACGCGAACTACGCGGCAACCTCTCGGGTTGGGGCACAGGGGGCGATTCGCAACGACTATCATACATCAGGCATTGTTGTAAGGCTTCATAAACACAAATAGCCTTCACAAGAAATGAGGGTAAATGCACGGGGTCAAAGGAGGACAATCTGGGCCTCGTCCACGGACTTTCTGGAATAGGATGGAAAAATACAGCACGGTGGGTCAAGAAATTAAATTTTAAATTCCAGCGCGGGAAAAGGTTTTCCAAATTATTTGATTTAAGCCACGGCAACGGCACAACGGACTAACTGAAAGTAAGCACTGAAATACTGGGGCAGAGAGAAACGGTCACTTCCCGCGCTTGTTTAAACTTTTCGGCCTGCTCGGGCGGCGCACCGCAGGGCCTCCCGCGCTGTGCCGGTCGCCCCCCGCCTCCCTTGCCCGGCTTGCCAAGCGGCGGGGCGCGGAGTTGGGCGAGGCGGCGGGCCTGCGGGGAAACTCCGGCGGGTCTCCTCCTCCTCGCGCCCCCCCGGCGCGCCCAAGAAGAAGCGCCGAAGAGTTTGCTGGAAAGTGGTCCGCCCGTCCAGGCGCTCCTCGGGCCGCCGCGCACGTCACCGGCCAGCGCGTGCTCGGCGCGCCCCCGCCCCGCCCCCGTGGCGAGGAGGAGGAGAGCGGGGGTAGGGGTGGGGGGGGGGCGTGTCGGGGCACGGCGTAGATCGAGCCCTCGGCGGCATGGTGGTAGGGAAGGCGGCGCAGAAAGGAGTGGGGTGGTAACTAAATTCACTCAACTGCACAGGCTAATGTTTACCGGGGGGCCTCAATATGCAGGCGCGCCCCCACTCCGGCGCCGGCCTCGCCGGCAGGCGGAGGGGGCGCGCCGGGGGAGGGGAGTGGGGGTGGGGGGGGAGGGGGCTGGAGGAAGAGCCTACCGCCGCCGGGCGAATCGCATGGAACGACCCACCTGGGGGACTCCGCTCGGCGCTCGCTCCTTAAGCATCATTGCTGGCCCTCCCAACCGGGCGGGATCTGCAAAAATCTACGGTGCCTTCATGCGTCGCGGGGCTGCACTTGACGGCGCCGCGGCCGGGCCGCGCGGGCGGGGGGGCGAGGGGCGGCGGGGAAACCCGGTCCCCTCCGCGCCAGGGACGGCGCGGCGGCGGCGTGCGAGACGGGCGGCGGCGGCGGCCGGCGGCGGGCGCGGCGGGCGGCGCGGGCGCGGCGGGGGGGGGCGGCGCGGCGGGCCGGTTCGGCGCGAGGTTCAGGCGGCGACGCTTGGTCCTTCACCCGGCGCAAGACCGCCTTGCTCCGTCCGCGGGCGCTGGCCCCTCCGAAGGGGCCACGCGCATGAGGGGTATGGTCGGAAAGACGGTTCGCAAACCTCGGAAAAATTTAATTTTCCAGCCAAACATACTCAGATATGAAAAGTATCGAGGATAAAACAAGTGGTTTGTATTGCATTAATGTGGTAATCTTCAGACATAAATGGGCTTAGAGTGCGAATGATTCTATATTGACCGGCAATATGTAAGATCTATTCCCCCTAGGATACAAAAGAGGGAAGGTCATTCAGTAAGCACAAAATCTACTGAATTCCAATGAAAAAAATTATACCCTGCAAAATGGGCGTAAGAAAACAACGTATGCCACCGGACGTGCATACGCAGTATTTTTAAAAAAAAAAATTCCCTTAAATAAGCCTGGGTGATGAAGACTACAAAAATTACGTATTAATTTCAAGGAAGCGGGTTTTAGGGGTATGTTTACGAATCTATAATCAATAATTCTCATGACAATTAATAACATTGGTTGACGTATAATCAATAAAAATCGTTACCGGTGGA